TATTGGTTTGCATGCACGATGCAATAATCACGGATGCACGGAATTCGTTGCATGCGTACCGCATAATGTGAAATTCCATAATAATTAAAATCGAATACCGTTGTAAAGAGAGACAGAGAGAGAAGGCAAGATAGAGAGAGAGGGAAACTTGTTTTCAACTTGAAATACTATATCGGCGACGCGCAATTAATTAGAACCGCAGCGGCGACTCCAAAGTCGCATAAATCGATTCAAAGATGCTCGTAAATCAATCTTCGAGATTTAGTCTTTCGCAGTTGTTCGACCCAGTTTTCACTAAGAGAATGATTAGATAACTCTTTTTGTATGGACAGCTTAAAATATATGACAAATTGAATAAACACGTCGAACAAACATTTGATAAATATTTCGCATTAATCGAAGATAAGAATATTTGTTTAAACGAATAAAAAAAGGGAAACAAAATATTTTCAAAAAAATTAATCTTTCGTTGAAAAGAGATATGTTCTACTGTGTACTGTTATAAAAATACATGCAAGAGGTTTTAATATTTTATACACAAGGCTCAAATATGAAAACCTTTTATGTTATTAATATCCGCTGAAGTATTCATAGAATGTTAAATCTATGCAGTGTTTATTTCAAAAATATATTGTAAAAAATGGCTTTTGAATATACCGCATACCAAATGGCTTTCTGAAATGGCGATCGCGCTGCGTTTTCGAATCCAAGCGGGTGCAGCGGACATGTACATTAACTGTATGCAGTTATACGAGATCCTTTTCCATGGTATTTCGTTGTAATAGCAAGCGCGTATTACCAGGCATATTTCGTATGAGATTTGAAATTCCATGATTCTTTGACGTCATTACGCTCATCAAAGATCCGTCGGAAAATTCGCGAGAACGATATCATCAAGATTAAATTCCGTAATTCTCACAGAAACAAATATTTGCACAACTGAAAATCACGCTGATGGCAGTGTGCCTCGTAATTGGCCACGAATGTACGGATGAGTACTTTTTCGCATACGTTCATATTTTGATGGGATGAAAAAAAAAAGTATAAAATAAATCTGCGAAATCGACATTTTTGTCACGTTATGCAAGACTAGTTGCGCGCGAATTCAATTTTTCAATTCCCAATGATAAACGAGTAAGATAAATCGTTTTTCTATTTAACTTAATATTTTTCAAAAAATGGATATGGTTGCATGCAATCGGTGATGTAAATGTCAGCACATTCGTAGAGATTTATATCGCAATAATATTAATATTGCAGCGATTACATCGCTTTAAATTTTGACGAGGAAAATCTCAACACATCGAATTTTTAAATTACTTCCGCTATAAATTAATTCTACGATATATCGTGTTAATTCGAAACAACGAGATAATCGTATCTGCGCTGGCAATTTCCGAGGCTTGCGTGAAGCACAGGATTAAACAATGCGACTTTACGTTATATCTAGAAGAAGAAAGGCCGCTCCTTCAGCCGCGTCCCTCGACTTAATGCAAGCTCCGGAGCAAGATAGTGATTTTCCGGGGTGATAACCGTGATTTCCAGACGCGACCCGGCAAGCGCGAATCGAAGTCGGTTGAACGACCGATAGACACCTTTTGATGTCGAATCACTCTTCCTCTTCCATCGCTCGCTTGCGGCGAACCTGCTGAAAGGTTCCTAGGGCGCGACGCGAACACACTCGGCTGCCGCATACACTTTATTCCCAACCCATCGTTCCGTCCCAGCGATTTCGAATTCCCGAACAAATTTGATCGTCGTCGTCGTCGTCGTCGTCGTCGTCGTCTAGTCGGGCTCGCATCTCTACGTGACGGGAAAATCGCGAGCTTGCTCGCGCATCGGAAAGCCACTCTTTGCCTCTCGTAGTTGCGTCTCTCTCTTTCTCTCTCTCTTTCTTTCTTTCTCTCTCCTGCACGCCAGTATATAAACCCTCATCCGCCAACCTCTTTCATTTCCCTCTTTCTCTCCCTCGTTCTTGTCCGCCCCTTCCTCCTGCCTCTCTCGTCTGCCACACGCGTTCCTCCACTCTAGTATTTTCCTACTTCTCGCGCTTCGTGGTTCTACTTTCGCACGCGCGATTGTGCCCTGACGAGTTTATGGCGGGCACCCTCGGCGGAATCCTAAACGCGGCACGTACGCGAAGTTACCGACTCGAACGAGGCGTAAGCTCGAGACCGTCGAGGAGGCACGGGTGACTCCTCGGTTCGATGCGCAATCTTACGGTGCAACATTTCGCAACCAATAATACCTTTTTCAAAGTTCTGCTATCATAGTATCGATTAATTTTTTTTAACTAGATCGATTTCATTTATATTAAATGTCGAAATCAAATATTTACTAAGCAAATTAAATAAAAAAACGCAATATATTATACAATTTAATAATATGCAATTTTTCAATTTCAATCTCGTCGAAAATATTATCGTACATAAAATTTACGGCCGAGAATTATCTAAGACATTCTTAAATTAAAAAAAAAAACTCTTAATTAATAAATAATTAAATTTTCACGAGATTTGAAGCTCTGAAATACATTCGCTACAAGCATTTCGGGCGCGTTCAAGGATTGACGTCGCGGAGAATACGCATGCAGATATATCTAACACGCAATAACGCTACGATGAGTAATTAACGCGGCATCTGCGGCGTTGATTAAATTTCACGTGTCGGAAGCAAATTCATAAATATCCGCAGCTGCGCCATTTCCGACAAAGGTAGCTGCAACTTACGACGAGACGTAGCGAAAGAAAATTAATGACTACAAAAGATTACTCTCCGGACTCCGTGGCTGTCCGATGAAATATCATAAATCGCGAGGCCGCTACGTCTGAGAAGTTTTCATAGTCGACCGCTTCCGTCTTTCTCTCTGCCTCTCCCTCGCGATTTTACCTCCTTTCCGCGTCTCATTCTCATTACGAAGTTCCCGGTCATCAAATTTTATTAGCCCCCACTTCAATGCCGGCCCGCCTTACTTCTAACTCAATATCGTAGATTCGTAGTTCTCGCTTTAACTACTCTCCTACCTTCTTCGCGCAACGCGCACAACGGAAGCACATCGTTCGGACATATATATTGGTAAAGCTATTCTCTTTCTTGCTCTCTTTGTTCCCCTCTTCCTCTCCTTATACACCTTGAATGCGGGCGCTTTTCTCTTCGCATCTCTCACTTGCCTTCAAATGTAAGCGCAACGAGCGACTTTGAAAGCGGCAATAATTCCGTACTCTACGGCCGAGAACTAATTTCCACCAGCTCTGACAGGGAGGCAAGGGTGAAGGGCAAGGCAGGAAAAGACGAAGAGCGGCCTCACTTTTGGGGGGCTTTCCTTCCGATTTCTCACGGACGGTTCGTTTTCTCGCGCGCCCTTTTATCGCCCGACAATGATTCGCTAGGGTGCAGCCACCTCTACGTGGTCAAGGGTCGCAGCCAATAAACTTTGCCAGCGAGCTACTAACCTACGTGCCGGTCGAATCGGCGGAACGATGGTAAAGACGGCCAAGAATGAGAGAAAAAAGGATCGAGCTAAGTAAGAGAAGCTTTTCTGACGGGGCGCGAGGTTTCCGGTTCGCGTCCTTTAATTGCGACGGCTCGAATTGGGACTAACGACTTTCTTTCGACGGCGTTTAAAAGCCACGTCGCTGCGCACGAATGTGACATTTACAGACGTGATGTAACGATCGCGTCTGCGTTTTATCGCGTTCAGAAATGCCAGCATAGCACCATCCGGAAAACGAATAGACTACTAACAATCAATTATCGAGCGAAATAATCGCGTATAAAAAATATGTTTGCTCATAAAATATATTGAATGTTGAGCGTAATGATTTAGAATTTTCTATATTATTTTTCGTTGAACTGTATCTTTTTATATAAAGGAAAAATAATTTGTTCACTGATGCAAGATAGCTACTTTGAAGAGACTCTCCAGATATAATTTATACACCAGTAAGAGTCAAAAGAAGCAACTCCATTCAACCTTTGCGGCCGATGAAAATTAAGCTCATCGGAGTTGCAAAGAAGTTAAACTACCGCGAGGTCCGAGTAATGATCGTAGTAATTGGCGAGATAGTAATCTGAAGTTCGTTATCACCGTGCATTACATTCGGTAGACGGGAACATTGCAGGTAATAAAAGTTACCGAAAGCTAGTAAGCTATAAAATTAAATCCGCAGCAAAAAGATAAAAGGAAGGAGAGATGCTTTCGAAAAAGAGGTCGAAACTTTCCGCTCCATATCACTCAACAACCTGGCCAACTTGTGGCTCAAATTTTAATTAACGATCTTCGTGAGTAATTATCATCAGAGGAATTACTATATCATCTTGATTCTGAAAATTTTATTTTGCGGTCTCTGCTTCGGAAACAAGCGCGTAACAAGCTCGAACGGAGCAAATCCGACCGAAGAGATCGACAAATTAAATGATAAAGACGATACAGAAATTAATGGCGTTCTAGTTAGAAGTCGCGCGACATGCCTGGCAATCGCGAAAAAGCTGCCTAATCCTCTTACGTCTTTGCGGACTCGCGTCCGACGCACATTGACTGACTCTTTGAAAGGTTCGCTCTGTAAGCCCTTAAACCCATCAGACGCAGCAATTCCAGACCAATTTCGAGAAAATTCAATCGTGAAATATACAGCGCGGCCAGCATTGAGCTAGCGAATCAAGAGAAACAATAAGAACGAAAGGTTTAAATCCTTCGTCTTGTGTCGCGACACAAATTAAAAACTAGACCGTCACTGGCTTACTAGCTCGATACAACAGATATAATTAAGTAATTGCAAAATATAGATATAATTAAATAATTACAAAATGCAACAGATCGTAACTGCGTTTCGAGAAAAATTAAAAGTTTTATATTCCACGTAAAAAAAAAATAATATTTATATTTCACGTAAATTATTTAATGATAAATTTAAAATATTAAATGATAAATATTTTTTCGACTCAAAATTGGTCAGAGAATCAACGACTGATGAGAACGATTGAAAGAATAATTCACCTACCTTTTGTTGTTGCGTTTGCGCGGGTTCAGTGGCGAGTAGCTGCTTCAAAGCTGCATGTCCGTGTCCATTCGTCGTGGACGTTGCACCGGGCGTGCTCGGTGTGCTGGGATTACTTCCGGGAGTGTTAGGCGTATGAGGCCCGGTTGTGGGACTGCTGGGACTGACGCTCTCATTAACTTTGCTGCCAGCATGATGATTCTCCGTATGTCTTCTCAGGCTCCTCGCGTCGCAATAAGACTTGCCGCATCCTTCGGCTTTGCACTCGTACGGCTTCTTATTTCGATGCGTCAGCATGTGCCCGTTCCTGCAATTAAAACAAAATTTATTCGTTAATTTCTAAAAGAACTGATCCACTTTATTCTACACTGTTTACACATTTCTTCGTAAAAAAATATAAAATATATTGTAAGATAACAATCTTAATTAATATAAGAGATTAATTAATATAAATTAATCTCTTAGAATTTTTTTTCTTTTATTAAATTAGAAGCTTATGCTAAAAACAATTTTGCAATATAATTTATATTATATACATTTATGCGTTTGCAATATATTTAATTTTATTTCGCACACATTTAACTTTTCCGATCCATCATCTATTTCGCCGGAGAATCACTCGCGTGCGCGGGCGTTTAAATCAGAATATAAATCGACTGTAACATTTCGGTCACAGGAAATATTACCGAGGTTGAATTATCCCTCTAGTATACCACGCGTTCCCATTCGAATTCCTCTCCCATTCCGCATTAATCATAAGAACGTTTCGGGCGACACGCTATATAACATTCGCGGATGTTCGATGGACGCGGAGATCTGATCATACACCTGCTCTTTAGTGCCCGACCAAAATTATGTCGACCCGATTATGCCGCCTATCTATATCAGCGATCTATCCTAACGGACGGAAATCTCATATACCGTTGGAGGACACGATTCCCTTCGCGTTTTATCTGGAACAAACATCTAAACTCATCCCCAATGTGCTGCCCTTACACCCGCCAGTCCGTCGCTTAAAGACTTATCTACTCCATTTGCCCGATATTCCGGTCGACATCGACAAGGCAAAACGTGCGCTTAACGCGCTCGTGTAGAACCACTCGGAAGGTTTCTTCCTTGCCCGGGATACGTTCTGGAAATGGGATACGGCTGTTCTCTACGTACGTTATCAAGGAACGTTAGAAAAAAACGTGCAACGTCCGACGATGCGTACGATATGCAACAAGTTGCGCAATTTTGCGATGCTGGATTACGCGATCGCGTTCTCGATAAGATTCATGATCCTATTGACGCGACTTTGTAATCGTTCGTTAATGGCTGTAATCGCAATCAGAGCTATCAATCGATTCGATGAGCAAAATAAGAGCGCACGTCCAATATTTCGATTAAAAGACAGGATTACCTTTGCTTGTAATCGCTTGTGCAGAGTTTCTGTTTTCTTAATTATGTACAAAAGTGCGCGCATGTAATGTGAAAAGCACGATTTCATTTGTCTAGTATAATAAAACTATTATTTTGTATTGCCATTTTTTTCAATCATTAAAATCTAAGTTTAAGATTAATTGCAACTCAAAATTAATTACTCCATTTTTAGTGCACGTAACTATTATCTGGAACACGTTAAATTTCTTCATTGCACTGGAGAGGAGCCGCCTCTTTTATTCCTTGAAACTTTAACGAGATCCCGAGAACGTGGACATTCCTCGCGATGGAAACCTCTCCTGCAGTGGATTGCGCGAAGAAGTCGTACGGCGAGTCCAATGGAAGGGATATCGTTTCCAGTAAATTTTCCAGGAGATACGGGGGCACTTCTATCCGACGAAGTTTTATAGTCTATCGATATACGAACGGATTCCCTTAAATTCCGCCGGTAAAGTTGGGACCGTAGGGAGGGTTTAATTTGTAAAAGCTAATTTGTCGAACTTTTAAGGTGACCCGTTCCGAGAGTTCCCAGAGTTTCCTTTTTCAGAGATAATCAGGAACACCTGGAACGTGTTGAATGTACATGCATCATTCTTCCTTTTTTTTTTGGAAGAACGCGAAAAAGGGAGAAAAGAATAAATGAATAGATAGTAATTATTATTATATCTTATTACTTTAGACAATCGCTTTCGTTAATTAATTAACAAATCCGATTGGAACAATTATTTCATCAATATTATAAAGAATGAAGATATTATATATGTAATGATACATACAAATAAAAAAAGTTAATAATTTTATTTGATTTATAAAAATAGAAGTATCTGACTCTCGGTTACTTGAATAACAAACAATAGTATGTATATAGAATGTTACAGCAATGTATTGTTTCGAAGTTTGTGCGTAGCACAACTGCATTTCCAGTTATCATCGCTATCTCTTTCTCTCTCTGTCATGTTTTTATTTAATCAATATGAAACTAGAAAATATAGTCCATCGTAATAAGTGAACTTTTAAAAATATTCAAGATTCGAAATTCCGTGATTTTACAACAAAGATTTTATTTTTCAAAATTGCAACAAAACTCACATTTTTTCGCACGTTTATCGTCTTATATCACGGCAATGTAATAGTGAAAAAATTGTTATTAATTATAAATCTTGCATTCAACAACGAGAATTTCTATAAAAACTTTAATTGTGTGTATATTGGATCTGGTGAAGACCCATATCAACGAGTAGAAATTTATCTAAAAACCAAAAATTAAATTTAATTCAACTCTCGATTAATTCTGTCTAATCTTCGATAGCCTAATAAAATTATTAACAAGGAAGCCTATTTTTCCTCATTTTCAAATTCGTTTCTTTTATCCTCTTATTATCCAAATTGGAGTATTAATCATCCTTAACTCCCAATTATTTAACAAGTCAGTTCATCTCAGTACTGACATTTTATAAAAATTATAAATATATGTATTATATCATTATAAGTGTGCTTTTTATATTATGTGAAATGTTATATAAAACATGCAATTTTCGATTTAAATACTTTGAAGATTATCGACAAAGAAATCTATTTGCTTTACTTTATTCTTTTTCTTTTCTTATAGAAGTTAGTAACAGAAAGTCCTTCATATGACGAGGGTCACAAAGAAGCAATTATCGAAATATCGAACGCATTCTGAAAAATAAAGCTCTCGATGGCGTTACAAGCAGAGGGGAAGGCAAAGTCTTTGTCTCTCGAAGGACCAGCTTTCCTACTCCGCTGCTCGCGTTGTCGCTCCTCCCTTTAGTTCCGATGTCCTCGCAAATCCTTTTCGGACGAAGAAGAAATGGCCGGTATATACCTCCCTCCGCGTTCGGAGAAAAGCTCTCGAAGAGAATTCCTTTCGAGGTGTAAGCGCTTCCGTTCCTTATTTCGCGCGGCGGTGCTCCAACTCAGCAAAGGGACTACGTGGATTTACTTCGATAACAGAAATACACCGAGAAGCGTACAATGGTACCCTGTTCGATATCGAAGAAATCGACGAAGTTATCGTTCTGGAAATACGTTAGTTTTTCGGGGATGCAATAGAAAAGTGACAAAGTGTCTGTGTATCTTTTGTTTTTCGACTAAGCATGACAGCAATCTACTTGTACAATTTTAACCAAGTTCAATCCCTTAGTAATTCGTACTTACAAAAAGTGCTTGATAGAATAAATTACTTTCATAATTTAACCGTACATTATATAATTTGTTTTGCTGTAAAATTTACAAATTTAATTGAAAGAATAAAATTAATCAAAAGAATAATATCAATATCTTTGTTATATTACGAAAATTATTAAAATACATATAGGGTGTTTTTCAGCAAGCAACGGAAAACACAATGTATCACTTCATTCTTGTTCGTCTCGAATGTAAACAAGGATGAAATTCAAAGATGATTCACTTTGTTACACTGTGAAAAACACCCATCTTCTAGGCCAATATTATTATTTGAATTGTTAAGCGTATGTGCGTATTATAAAATATACGATAACACATATGTAAAAGATATATAGAGAGAATACCTCTTACAATATTATAAAATCGCAGTATACGAGTTCCATTTTTCACTTGGTTCCGTCTCGGTCAAAGGTTCACGATCAACTAAATAGAATTTCAGATCTGTTATATACACTACTACACTTCCAATGGTCGGTGACTATATACTTGACATTGAGACATTGAGACATTGAGACATAAAGACATAATGTTTACATTCTTTGAGTTTGTTATTATCCATATATAAGATCAGGTTTTGTCGTAAAAATAAAATTCATTCAATGATATACGTTATCTAAGCGTTTTCTGCCAAATTTAGATTCTTCTTTATTGTTTTATATGAAATTTTTTTGGAATATAAGGCAAAGATTAATTATGTATTGTATGTGGCCTTGATGTAATAATTTCAAATCTTTGTATTTCACATACAATTATGCTTCTTGTTCGCTTAATAAATTGTATCGCTTAATAAATTGTATCTAAATAAAAAAAGATAATAACAGTAAATGTTAGCGATCATATCTACAATTTTTAAATTTTAAATATAACGCACATAGGAAGACTCGCATAAATTACTGCGATAAAAATAATTTTTTTTTCTTTTGATATTTTCATATTATTATTGTTCATCTTTATTAGCTGATCTTTATTATTATTAATTCTTTTTCATATATGTGTGCGTGTGTGTGTGTGTGCGCGCGCGCACACACACACACACACAAAACGTATATATATTTTTTTCAAGAACTCTACAATGGGGAATCTACCTGGACAAAGCAGGTGAGAGGCGATGGAAACTGCAGTCTGTCAATTTTTAAAGAATAAAGCACGGTGAGGAGAGAGACTTCATACCGACTTTTTCTCTTTCTCAATTAAGTTTGAAAGTCCATTCAGACGGTGAATGCAACCGAAAGATCTCTTCCGTAAAATCTTTGCTCGCGCCGCCATTATTACACGGGCTGCCTATTATTATTGTTCCTCTTCTTCTTTAGCTCGCGGACTCGTAATAAGATATATATGAGAAGCCTCGACGGAATATCGCGCTCGAACAATATTACGGTTACGTTAAATTACCAATACGTGCTTTATCGGATACGATGTAATATTCTAGGCGTTCCCTCTTTTCCATATCGGCGATGCAAATCTGACGAAAAAGCCAGCCCGTTTACCAAAGTAAAGAAGGAATTCTCTCTCGATCGCGCACAGTGTATTTGGGACGGAGACAGCGGCAGCTTCCGGCGAAAAACAGGAACTGGGGCAAAGACTTTGCGATTTCGCGCATGAGATAGTATCGCACGGTTCGTTTACTTCCGTATGGGAATTTACGGATTTTAGCAACCGAGGGAATAGCGTCCGGCGTTCGATGAAATGTATACAAACAAACATTTAACTTACGTTAAAAAATAAACAAGCTCCCTCCTAGAATTGTATAGCGAGATAGCAGGATATGGCAAATAAAATAACATCGCTTCGATATCACACCGATAGACGAAACAGACCGATGTAACAGTTTGATATTTTCAATCTAGGATTTATTGCAATCTATTTGTTGACATGTCGAATGTCGAAAGTAAATTAACGTCAAGCTCAAAATGGCAATAAGCTTAGAACTGAAGTCTGTGGATATCTTTCACGGATATCCTCTAGGTTGATTGATTGCTATTATCATTTATCGAAGGGGAGAAAGGGATGCGATAGGTAAAGAGAAGCGAAAGCTGCCGCAGGCAAAGCTCGTTCGGAGAAACCGCAATGTTCGCGATGAAACGTAAGTAATTCCTCGCACCCTTCCGACGGCTCGTATTCAATGCGACGAGGTCGTTCAAGCTCGAGGGAATAGAACGAGAGGAGGCACGGGGAAGCGGTAGAGAAAAGAAAAATACTGTCCGCGCGCGCAGAATGGACCGGAAGACGCGGCGAATCCCGAGCATGGCGGGGGAGGGCAACGGGATACAAGGGAGGATTTCGAAATCCGTCTTTCGGGAAAATACAACGAGTTCAACTTGGCATTCGACTGCGTCGCGCGGACAACGCTGGAGCGACGAGAAGCGAGCGGAGTCGCGAGACCGACCTCTATTGATTCCGCGTTATTCCTTCGTCCGTTCTCGGCAAGAATTGAATCCTTAGTCGCTATATAGTCCGCCTCCATCGCTCGCCTTTGTGCTCCGTTCTTTCTCGCCTCTTGTTCCTGATTCCCTATATTGCGCCTGTCCATTTTCCACATTCGTGAAACGAACTCACGAAGCTCCGAAGGTAAAAATCCTACCTCGCGCGCGAAATGACGTTTTTCATTTAAATGTATTATACTTCTTTCGGGTTTTATTGCTGCGAAATTTTTATTAAATAATTTAGCTAATTTTAGATAATTGATTTAAAGGTAGCACACATACAAATATTAAATTACTCGATTTTGTATTCGTGTGCATATAAATATAAGTGTAATACGTCTTTAAATATCTCACCCACACATCCGATAATACATAAAATATACCCAAACACTCAAAATTTTTTACTAATCTTGTACATTATACTTTTTTCGTTTTAAGTTTTTTTTTGAAATATAAATTTTCATATTAAAAATAAAGATATGTAATATACAGAGAGAAACACATCTCCGAACGAGAACTTTTTCTAGCAGCAACTATTACCGCCGCAAATTCAACGAAGTTCTAATACCGCTACGTGCCGATACGAAGAGCTCCGCTCTCTTCCATCGAATATCCGGACAACCAGGCATTACGTCAGGGAAATATCTAAAGGATTACTTCGGCATACCTACCTACGCGTAGAAATTTCTCCAACTACTGATCTTAAGAAGGCACTCCGAGACAGCTTAGAAGGCTTCTTACGAGCGTACTAGCAAAGAAGAGGAGGTAGAGAGATGCACGTATAAGTACATGTACATATACACGCATGTACATATACCTCCTTGGTATACTTGGTATTGCCGAAGTGGAACGTCGAGAGACTTTGATGAACATAATGAACGGCTCAGTTCTGCGAGTATCAGCATTTTCCTCCAAGCTTCGACTCGAGTGTTGTTCTCGTTTCTGTTTTATATAGTACAGGGGATTCGTAATACGCTTCATCACGATTAGTTCGAGAAATAGAGAAAGGACAAATGTCAGAAAGAAGCGAGAATAGATCAACGGTGAACGGTAATACGGAACAAAATTATAATATTATTGCGATGATAAACTTGACGAAAATAAATACGGTTCTTTCTATTATATACAAAAAATATCAATAGTATTTAATCGAATATTCATTTGCGATTCTCATATAATAGCAAGTTTCACATGAGAAAAGATATTCGATATCAAGATTAAGATATTCGCTAGCAAGACATTTATTTTATCAATCAGCACTTATTTCAAAAATTCGGCCAAATATTCGTAAATATTTCGGTAATATTTTAACGAGAAATATACATATATATATAATTTAATTTGTACTCACAAGTGGTCCTGCCGCTTGAACGCTTTGCCGCACATCGTGCACACGTACTTCCTCTCGTCGCTGTGCGTCAGTTTGTGCTTCGTGAGCGCCGATGCGTTGTTGAACACCTTTCCGCAGACCTGCGACAAAAAAAAATAGTCCTCGTTTTAACAGCAACGCCAATAAAAATTATACGCAATATTGCGCGATTATATTTGCCATTGAATAAGCTGTCTTTTTTCTCCGATTATTACGATATCGCAAAAATCTTAGCTATTTTAGATATCTATCTACTTTGCCGCGTCATTTCTTTCTCGCCGAGTTTATTAGCGACACTAAACATGAGGAAGAGAGTTGCGCGAGCTTCGTTTTAAAGCCGCGGGACAAATTGGAGCGTAGCATGATTTTCAATTAGCATGCATGACTCTCGTAAAACGAGGACGAGTTGCTTTATGATGGACATTAGGATGACAATACCGAATGAATATCGCGTGGCGAATCTTCTTCGTATTTGCAAGTTTACAATCCCACAGTTATTACGTCCGGCAACGTCAGCAAGAATAATTTCGCAATTTCCGTAATCGACGACACTAGTATAATTCTTCATTCATGTATGACTGAGTCTCTCTCCAAGTCAAACGTTTAAATAATTAAATTATTAAATATATCTAAAATAAACATCCATAGGCATATTCACATAATATATATTTCAAGAAAAAAACGTATAACTGAATTTGTAAAAATTATTGCCAAGTATTTTTGACAAGAAATGAGATAATAAATTTGTTATATCAGATTCAAATATAACAATTTTCGAAAATATATCTGTAATATATATTAAATTAATATATATTACAGACATATTTTGTAATACATATTAAATTTTTTTACATGTGTAATAATTTAAAATAAAAATTATTTTTCTTTCACAAAATTTATGGATTTCCTTCAATATTTATATAATAATAATGTTTATTAAAAATACAATTATTTTTATTATTATTAAAATAAAATTATTAAACGACTTTTCTTTCTCGAATTATTTGATATTTCTCTCTCGGTTTGATATTAGTATAAGTTCACATTAATTCGATTATATTTCCCTCTGCGAAAACATTTCTTATTCGTTTTACATGCATTATTGCATTCATTTGCATGCATTCATTGATTTCGTTTAATTAATTGTATTAGAAGAAAATTTGTTTAATGTTCTATTTAAGATTGACAAAATTAAATCCAATTTATCATTTCAAACAGCCAATATCACTCCGTGAAGAGATGTTAGAGATCATTTTATTTCCCAGATTTTATGTCACAGAATTAAATTGGCTACTCTCAAAGTATCGAAATGGAGCGACGATGGTAAAGATTTCGTGGCCATTAATGTTCCTCTGATAAATGAGGCCATTATCATCTGTCCTATTAAAGAATAAGAGATCGTATCACTGCAGTTACTTCTACGTACGTAGAGAAATTACTCGTAGATTTAACATCACGGGACCGCAGCGTGCACCACCGGTTCCGAAGATGGTATGCCCGTTAAGTATGTGGAATTAGGTTTATTATACGCGCCTGCCGGGGTCGCACACTATTTCAAGAACTATTTCAGGAAGCCAAAGACTGAAGAATTGAGTGCGGCCAATGTTCCAACTGAAAATCCAACATCTCGTTACGAATAGAGTGTCGTCGTGCAAAATCGTACATATTTCGCGAACCGGAGTAGAAGTAATTAGTATTTCTAATAAATTTATTCTGTTTCTTTCATTGCGAGTTAATTTATATTCTTCCCAAATGCATAATGAAATGAAGCAATATCATTGTAAAAGTATAGCACGGAAAGTTAAAAAAAAAATTATAATAAACTGCGACTTCATCAACATTATTCCGAAAAATTATCTCTCTCTCTCTCTCTTTGAGTAGAAAATAATAAAATTCAAGTATTTACTTGTAATGCGTATTTATAAATTTTAAAATCAATTAAATAATTGATAAAAAATTCGTAATTTTTTAATTTCATTAAATAATGTACGATTGTTTATTCCAGTACTGAATAATTTGACATGGATAACATTTTTTTCTTTTATGCTATCGCAAAATTGATAGCTTGATTAAATTCTTATAGTTCTCATTTAAAGGAAGAAAATATCGAGCGATTTAATATATCGATCGGATTGTACTTTACAAACAGAATCAATAATGCGGAAAGTATAGGATGCGGTTAAACTCGTACTAATGATCTTGCTCGAGGAATCCAACGATCGAGATTCGGAATATCACGTCTCGGGAGGGCATCGGGAATTCGTCGTCACGTCGAAGGATTCGCGGTGCCGGCGTAATGCGCTGCGGTATTAAGCCGAAATTAATTTCCAATGCACCTGCTCCTGCCGCCACCGTGCCACGTGACGACGCAGTGAACGTGCGATGGCACGATTCCGGCCCTCCATTATCGGAAAAGTCTTTTCCGCTTCTCGTTTCACTGTTATTTCCATTCGTCGGATGACACGCAAGATACACGAGTCACCGATAATACCGATGAGACGAAAAAGTCAAACTCGAAAGAGTAACGGATATTTCGCGAAATGGGAAAATTTTTTTTGATTTGAAAAAATCTACATTTAGAGAAGAGAAAAAATTGTAAATGTCAAACGCATTTATTACATAAACTTGAAACTGTTTTATCTCATTCACATTAATTTTCTTCCACAGTCAAAAAAGATGAAATATTTTTGTGTTCAATATAAGCAAAATATAAATATATTAAATATAAGTTTCATTTTTATGGACTTATTTGTTTTTTACGAAATTATTTATTTTTGAAATCTATCAACTGTCATATTATTAAACTGTAAAACCGATTGCAAAAATAAATGTAGAAAAATTTCTTGGCTTATGTTGAAAAAAAACTTGCTGATATCCGGCGAAATATTTCCTGCAGAATCCTTAAACACTTCATGCGAAACGATATTATTTAACAATGAGCCACAGTTGCCATAACAACTCACGTAAAGCTTAAACGGTACAACTGTCAGTAAATATTTGTTAGGATTTAGCAAACAGACAACAAATTCCATTTCATAAAGTAACGAGCGTATATAACTAACGTCTTCGAGAAAACGAAAAATACTCTCCGATGTGACAGAAAAAATTTCCGGATCATAAGTAGAAAAACTTTACGCCACTTCCACTATCGAAAGCAAATCCAGATTAAAGAAGAAAGTATTAAGATGTTCCTAACGCGTCGCGGATAATATTGACCGAAGATGAAGCAGACCAGCAGAGAGGAAGATAAGAAAAGAAGGAAAAAGCTTGTGAAGATAAGAGGACGTGAAAATTACGGTGAGAGGAATTAAAAAACCAGAAGTGACACAAACACGAATATCTGGGGTACATGTAGAGATGACAGAAGTATATATTCTCGAGGAGAAATGAACGTTTGCGCACGGTCTCAAGGAGATCTCTCAGGATAGGTTAGGGAATGAAGGAAAGGCGAGGCCAGTGCCAAGGGAAAGGGGGAATCGTACTTCTAGCTCCTAAGCAGAAAATCTAATTTGCGTAGCTTAACTCCTAAGGAGCTCCAGATGCACGGACGCCAACACACGGGAGTTTCAATTTACGAGGCGAGGATCAGGACCAAGGGGTAAGATGAGAGGAATGGTTGGAGTGACGAAGAGGCAGTAGAAATAGCAGATGGCGAGATAAGAAGGAGACAGCACAGAAAGATGGAGAAGGAAAGAGAGACGAGAAAACATACACATATGAAAGAGAGAGAAAAAACGAGCGAGACGAAGATCCGAGCAAAGAGGATTCTGCAGAGAGAGAGAGAGAGAGTTTCGGTAAAAGAGAGTAAGAGAATCCAACGACCATGAGTAAGGCACGCTCGTGTCCCTTACCCATCATCCCTGGTGCCAAAACTCGTATTTTCCACCCCCGGCGCAGTCCCTCTCTTCGAAAGCTAAATAAACATCATTACTCTTGGTCTTTCTACTACCGTCCCCTTTACAAATCCGCCTTCTCCTCTCCTCGCTCATCGCCGTGCCGATCTTGCGATCGCACTATTGCGTGCATACGACAATTCTCGCCTTCATCATTTGGCTCACAACTGCAGTGGTCGAAGCCGTCAATGTACACCGACCAACAGCCGGACCTGAATACGTAATCCCGCGGGTGGTAACATTGATACTTCGTTAAGAGGAACCTCGACCGGAGGCGAGTGCACAGAAAGCAGAAGGACACTTGGATCGAGCTAGCTAATGGTCGATGGGGCATCTGATTCGTGGCTTAAGCCGGATTCTCCTCATCGATCGGCCGATCCGCTTAACGATCGTTCCGGTCAACCACATTCATCTCGCGGCCGGAGATGAGAATACGTTTAAAGGTCAAATGTAAAGTCGTACATAACAACAGAGAAAATATTCCGTTCTGAAGTGTTCAAGAAACTACGTTCGCAAAGATTTCCGTTCGAGAGCGGTTTTTATTTGATCTCTATGATCTTGCTCGACTCGATCTCGAATAATTAATTTAAATAAGTGACTTGTTTATATTTATGTAAAGATTCGAAACAATTGATGTAAAAATATGCATATCTCATCTAATTATAAACGAAATAAAAATTATAAATCTAACTACACTTTTCTTCCTAAATAAATGTGCAACAAGAAGAAAATGTCAAGATATATATAGTATAGTATGACGTAATTCGCGTCGTCTGTAATAATGATCTAACCACGAACGTCAACACCTAGCGAAAAGAAGGAATCGCGGCGAGGAAGAACGAGAGATTACTTCGTTATTTGAAGCTCGCTGAGGAGAACAGTTGCCAAGCAACTCGCGGATAAGATGTATCTGCGGTTTCATCCGGTTAACGTTTGTTCCGGCTAACCACGTTCGCGTCCTGTCTCGAGTTTTTTTTTTCTAACAGAAGCTGGAAATGGTAGCGTAACCCCGAGGGGGCGAGGTCACGAGACGAATGCAATTTGTCGCTCCCGGGCAGGCGAATCTTTTAAAGAAGTGCATCTTATTACGAGCAGCCGGTAAGGGGACGAGAAACTCGCGCTTCCGTAAATAATGAGGAGGGCAGAGGAAAGAGACTTGGTGTGCCATCATTGCTGCTGCTGCTGTTGCTATAAAGACACAAAGCCCC